AAAGACTAGCTTCAGTTTAAGCTGATTAGTTTAGCTTTTAAATGCGTTGGCAAACTTTTACTGTGACAAATTCGGTACATAATCAGCAGACAGATGTTACCCACTTCATACATGTTATTAGGTTTGCCTTTCCTGGTCAGCTCTAAAAATAATGTTTGTCAAACCACATTATTCTTCCTTGTCAAATGCAATGTAGCTACCGCTTCTTATGAGTTTATATTAAATGATTGAGGTTCAATTTCACAGGCAGACCGAGAGAATCGAGGCTCACAATTGAGCCTCGCTAAACAGTCGATAGGGCTGTGGTTATAGTAGTTAAAGCAGCGAGTAAAGCAGCATGTTGGACATGGAAAGAGGGGCACATTTGGGTGATAATGATCCAGAAAGGTGTCAAAAGAAGTGGAAGAAATAAAAAGGCGGAAGCAGCAACTTTGAGAACTGAGGACTGAACTGTGTGTTTCCCTTCTCTTCATGCTGGGTAAACAATGCAGCAAACTGTTAAAAAACAGAACTGATCTGCTCTGCTATCGTCACCCATTTAATGACTAAACACATTCCTTTAGGAAGTAGATGCATGGCCACAGTGAGCAAAGATGTCATACTGGGAACATAGGAACATGCAGTGCTCTAGAAGTTGTTTTCTTGTTCGATCTGCAGAGGTTTGCATAAGTTTGCTGTCAGGACGAAGGCCCCTGTTCGGTTCATCTTGATGATCATGTGTACAGAAGGAACATACAGTAGATTCTTGTCGCGACGTCTACAGCATTTCAGCTTCCTGTGAAGTTTCAAAACTCTTTGCAAGATCTAAACAAGGATGTTTTTGTTTCCGTGTGAACTTTGATGCTTCAGTGCAGAGCTGCTGCTCAGCCGTCGTCCACAGAGGAGTTTTCTATTTAGTTTGCCTAAATTAGTCATGAATTGTATTTCAAATACACTAAAAGTCCTCTTCTCCAAGCCCCCAGTAGACCTTCCTCAATGATGTCACACCTATGCATTTTCTAATGTGAGAAGTTGTCATCAGGGTTTAGAAGTGTGTGGAAAAAGCTGTAGCATCAGTGAAGTGTGAGAAAAATGTGCTGCCAGGTTTAAGAACTGAGGCTCATATTTAAGTGTTCAGCTTTATCAGAGAATACTTTCGGCTATTGTTTTTGCTTCAGCATCTGCTATTTTTCATGTTTTCCTTCCTTCAACCTCTCCACCTCACGTCTCGTCTTTGAACACGTAAGCTCTTTTTCCTAGTTAATTGAAACTGACATTTTGATGCCGTAGAGAAAAGTAGGGCAGAGCAAAGCCAGCAGAGAACAACAAACATATTGTTTTTATTTATTGGGTAGTGTATGAAAATCAGATGCGCCCCCAAATGAATTTCATGTGAGACTTATCAACCATGAAAAACGTGACCTGGCTTCAACCTAAATGAGCCTGTAACGGCTGATAAGCGTTCTATTATGAAGGGTTGTTTATTTGAAAAGTGTTTACTGTGGGAACGTTTGACACTCTTTTTTTTTCTTGTTCTTTTTTTTTTTTTTTGCTTAAGCAGCAAAGCGTTTCATGTCTGTTGTGCAGACGGGAGGAGGAAAGCCGGGAGATGGAAGGATGGGTGGATGGAGAGGCAGAGAGCACGTGGAACATGGGCTTACTGTGGGCAACGTGAGCATGGAGGTTAAACAAAAATAACTGGGGATCAAAATCCATTTGCTTTATGGGTGTCTTTTAAAAGAACATGTCACAATGGAGCCACAGAAACCAACAATCTGAATCAGTAATTATTTAATAGCTGTCATTAAGTTAACACAAAGCCCGGATTAGTCATGTCCTACATTTCACACTGATGAAAATGGACTCATTTAATAGTTTCGCTTTTAGCATTTGGTGGAAACCTTTAGCAGGGTCTGCAGCGGAAATCCCTGTTTTGGAGCTTTTGTAGGCTTACCTTCTGGCAAATGATGCAGTCCTCAGTGGCATTTTTATTTTAAGTGTCGGCAGCGTCCTAGACAGCCACAGGCTTTGAAGCTTTCATTTTTAGTAGCACAGTTGCTTTTTGCTCACAACAAATGCTAACATCATGCAAGCTTTCCAATCACGGAAATCTGAAATTAAATTAATTTTGTCTATTGGTGTATATTAGAATACACTGAGCACAAAGCATTATATTTATGTAGCTACAGGCAGCAAAGTAAAGAAACTATTTTTGAAGACTTAAAGTTCAGTTTTATATTGTCCCCTTTCAATCAGCTTATCTCCTCTTTCCTCTATTCTCCTGCCCATGACTCCTACATGGGAAAATCCTACAGACCCTTAGATTTATAAGGTAGCCAGAATCCTTGAAGGGAACATTAAAATTGAGGCTATGCTAATCCAGACTTTTTTTGTATTGTGGAAGTAACGCGTTTGTCCTGCATTACAAACAGTTTAAAAGTGAACGTGCATCACAGTGGCAGACGAAAAACGTTTGTTTGATATGCAGCTTAGTGCATTGGCTTAAGATGACGTGGGTGTCCGATTGTGTCAAATAGCTGTCACCTTGAGTCCTCTCTTTGTGTCTATCTTCTTCTACTCTGCTTATATCGCTTGTGAAAGCGACACAGATTGGAGAGGAGTCAATGATATGAATGCAGATTAGAAAATGGGATCAGGGCCGTTCTTTTTATGTGAATATAGGGATATAAAGAGGCTCCTTTATTATATGCAGGTTAAGGACTTCTCCCTTCCTTTGACTTAAAGCTGACATTGCAGCATGCACAATGTGTCGGTGTTATTTTTATCAATCTAAGATTAATCGTGCAGCTGCATAGGACAATGATAAAGTCTTGCTAACTGAGCTTAGTTGGGCAAAGCAGAACTTTACTGTCTGAACAGCAATATGGCTGACAAAATGCAGCTATGTATGAGGTATTACTAAATGTCCCTCATGGTTCTGTTCTGTTCAGGCTGTGCGGAATACAAAGCAGACCACATGACTGCAACAAGGCGGAGGTTGTTTGGATCTTGCTGTGCTGGCATGTTGATAAGCATAGCTAATGAAATTACAGCGAGCATGTGGCGCTATTAGAGCATCTGGAGTTTGACTGAGAAAGCGGCGGGAGACACACAATTGGTGGATGTAAACCGCTGTTGGATATATTCCTGGAAGTACTTTGTGTTTTCATGTGACTGCATCAGACCGGTTGAAATGCACAACAGAAACATGTCATGCATTCCAATGAAATGAAGGCGGGATCCTTCATCCTGCATAAATCATCTCACAAAACTAGATTAGGATTTTTCCTTTTTTTATTACCCATCAGGTGATCAGTCTTGGACTGTTAATTAGATTTAAATTAAGGAAGAGTAGCGGGCCTGAACTTGTTCTTGTTCATATCGCCTCAAATCTCTTCAAGTTTGTTGTTTTTTTTCACCACAAAATGAAATTATTTTGTATGTCGTGTTTTCATTTGAGTCGTCAGAGCAGCAAAGCTTGATAAACACTCAGACTTTGCAGCACAGATACAGAAAAGTTTGGGCAGTTGTCTGGGTCGGCGCTAACTGGGTCAACGGAGCCCACTCCAGCCTTTAATGTTCAGCAAACTGTTCCGAGCTGCACGGTTTTGTCTGGGAGCCACAGAGGCCTGTCGCTGTGGGTAGCCGTTAACAGCCCTCATCTCTGGCTGAGCCGGAGAGTTTTCTTCAGAACTCTTAACAAACTGGAGAAGTGCCTACAGGCTACGCACTTCAGCCCAGCACTGGTGACTCACCACATTATCTACTGCAGTGTATATTTGCCTACAAGCAGCTGTTGTCACTCTTTTAGACATATTATAACTTCAAACTATTGAGTTGTGTTGAAATGACTCGATAAATGAAAAAATATATCCCTTTACCTGTAAAATTAAGTGTTTGCTTAAATGATTTAACTGAACAATTTTCTGGAGCTTAAATATCACACAAAGGTTGCTGGAAGTCATTTATATTTAAATGTCCGTAGGGGGGCCCCCTGACATCGGATTCATCTTAAATCTTTGTCCTTTGTGTCTCTCTTTTTCACATAAGCACAAAGAGTGGGAGCCCATGCCCGGGGGGCTGTGTTGCTCTAACAGCTGAATTGAAATGAAGCAGCTTAAAGCCTTTATGATCCGTCTCTCTCCGTCTAGCTTTTATCGATCCATATGGTGATTTGAGTTGGATGCTGGGGATGAGGTGTTGAAGCACAGTTTATGACATGGTGGGGGTTACCCACAGGATAAAGACAAGCAGATAGATGTGTAATGTATCCCCAACTTGTGTATGATGAAGCAAAACTATGGCTTTAAATGACCCTTCCCACTGACAAGGATGAATATTCAGACTTAAGACACTCTAGAATATGACTGTTATTGGTTTCTCTAAATAACTCCACATGATGTCAGAATCTGTGCTCCTGTTTTTGTGTGTTTTTTTATTTTTATCAGTGGCATGAGGTGATTTGATTTCACACACCTGCCATGTGAAACCTCCTGTTTGTTTACTACATGTTCAGACAGCTCATCGATTCAAAGCGTGAGCGGGACAGCAGTTTTATCTTGTTTTGAAAATGTTCTCCTGTCCTTTACACCTGAATTATAGGAATGATGTCAGTGATGTCTTATGTAACACAGTATGCAAACATGGCAACAAATAGTGCCGCTGTTAATCGGTTAGTTCTGCAACAATTCTCCTTTTCGTCCTGAAAAACTGAGCTTGAAATAATTTCCTTCTGGAAGATGGCCTGCAGGGATGGTAATCTACATATTTTTGGTTATTTTAAGGGAAATTGTTCAGTTTTCATGAAATCCAAAAGTAGCGAACGACAGGCCCTGCTAGCATTGTTAAAAGTTACTTTGTGAATTGTCACAATGTGATCACACTTTGAGAAAGGAGATTTAAGATGCAAGCTTTGAGGACTTTGTCAATTATATTCGCATGATGGTTTCTCTGTTTTGGCCCAAATTTTTTTAAGGCATTTGTACATAGTTTCAGTCAAGATTAAAAGCGGCTAAACTCAGCTGAAGAAAAACGGAGTCTTGTTTGTTCCTCAGGCTCAGCTGGAGGCCCAGACAGCCACCCAAGACTTCCAGAGAGCCACCGAAGTTCTCCGGGCAGCGAAGGAAACCATCTCTCTGGCTGAACAGAGGCTGTTGGAGGAGGACTACCGGCAGTTTGACTCTGCCTGGCAGGAAATGCTGAACCACGCCACACAGCGGGTGAGGAGGGGTGAGGGGGGGGGAGGCAGCTCAGTTCAGAAACGCAAGAACAGTATATTTCTATGTTTATGAAACACTTTAAAGCCAAGTTAACATGACTGCATGGCTGGGTTTTATTGGTCGTTTCAGGTGATGGAGGCAGAGAACACAAAGACGAAAAGCGAGCTTTTACACAAGGAGACGGCCGCCAAATATACAGCCGCCATCAGCCGGATGAAGCAGCTGGAGAAGAAACTAAAACGTACCATCAACAAGTCAAAGTAAGGGCCTCGATCCAGTCACGTGTTCTGCTGTAAAAAAAAAGAGCCACGATACACTTGAGTCTCAAAAGAAAACTAAAGCCAAGCATAAAAAGTTAGAGCTGAAAGGCTTAAACTTTTATTTAGAATTCTGAATTGGGAATCCACTTGAACAACAGTATCTTCACATGGTTCTAGCTCTAGGCTGTGTTCAGCTCTGAATGTTTGTCCTTTGCTGGGCCAGCTTGTGGACACAGCGGGGAGCAGAGCCTCTACAGCAGACTGCTGGTGCACGCACCACCGCTCCTGGTTGACTTTAGCTACGATTTCGGTGCGAACAAACGGGGCCTTTGTCATTGCTTCTTCAGCCCCATCACCACAACTAGCTCATAAACCAACTGCATGTCCCGCTGCAGAAATAGTTATCACCTAGGATGTGGCTTTTTATTCTCGTAGCTGATGAATTCAGACCCAGAAGTAAGTCGTTTCAGTTGTGATGTTGCACTTCTCCTTTCACCTGAAAAAGCTTCTCCCCAAAGCAGTGAAACCAGGTGTCGGTGCAAACCACACATCACAGTGTCAGGTTTTCAGGGGGAAGTGTGGCCAGCTGTGGCACAGTCACAAGTTGTAGTCGTCCCGTTGAATCACATGATTACCGATCCCACTGCTATTCAAATGTCTGAGCAAACGAAATGCCAAAATTGTCTGTGTGATCGTCTGTGCCTCAAAGGTGTTCTTGTGAGTGAGCTGTTTAAAACCAAAACGGACTTTCAGATTACTATGAAGTGAAATAATGGTTGCCACCTATTTCAGTTGCGTCAAGACAAGTGCAGCTAATTTCCCCAAAGAGCTGAAGTGTGTCTGGAGCTCAGAAGTACAGTTTCTGAACTTGACTTTCAGTAAGTCAGAGGTTCAAATTAAAGTTACAAAAGATTTCCCCTGACTCCTCGCGCCTCTGGCTGCAGTCGGTGTCGGCCTCCTGTTGTCACCGGCGTGTTTGGACTCGTACAGGGACTGAACAGGTTTTGTTGGCTCTGACGCAACGACTTGTGTAACACTGAGATGTTTAGAGTAACGGTCGTTATGTAATGTGGAGACGTGAAATCCCCTGAGGTTCACGGACTGGCCAAACTGGAATGCCAGGACCTTCATGCTGGGAGGCAGCAGCACAAATCCACCGTGCAGCTCACGTTTATTCCTCCTCAGACGGTGCCACACTGCATGTAGTGGACAGAATCTGCCAAAGGACATGTTCGTATTTGATCAAGCCTGACAGGAGAAAACGGGGTCTGATTCCCACATGAGCACACGTTTGTAGATTTTTATATTTTTGTTTGCTTGTTTTCCGACACTGTTGCTTGGCAGGAGAGGCGGCGTGGAAATGGGAAAAACCTGTCTATGAAACCAGTCTGTACAGTCACAAACTCATAAAGCCAACAAACTAATGCCACTTTCACTTTTATTATGCGTTTCTGAGTTGGAAGTTGGTGCCAGATTAGAAGAAATCCGATCTGACACGCACAGCGGCTCCTGCTATGTTTTGTGTTGCCTCAGCAGGGTTTTAAATCCGTTCTGTATTCCTCTCTCATCCAGCATCAGAACGCCTTTATCTCCCTCTCCTCAGCCAGGTTACCATGGTGATGATGTGGCTACGGCTCTTTTTTCTGGGTTACTCTGTATTTTTTTTGTCTGCGATATCTGCTCTTCCTCTCTCCTGACCTGTCCTCTTCCTCCTCCGCAGGCCTTACTTTGAGACGAAGGCAAAGTACTACCTGCAGCTGGAGGTATGTGAAAACTCCCCGGTTCTCCTTTATTATCCTCTCAAGCCAAATGTTGTCTCTGACTGTGATAGGGACGTTGTTGCCACTGGGTCAAATGACTCGACTAAAACCGACAGGGATGACTTCTCCCATTGTGTTCACATTTTTCAGATAAATGTTTGCTTTAGGCTGCACTCAGGCTGAAGCAACTTTAGTCAGAGACACAGTAAAAAGATGAAGAAGACAAAACGGGGGAAAAAAAGTGTTATATCAAACTGAATAGGCTCTCAAGGCCATTTTTAATTTCATCTGAAAATCTGCTTGGATATTAAACTTTCAATGATTTTCAGATGGTCTATAACTGTATGTTCAGTACACGTGGAAAATGTTTAAATCCACCAGCAGAGTCAACAGATATGTTCTTGAAAACTTGTGCATCCGTCATGACGGCCTTCTCCTCCCTCACCGTCTCCTCCCCAGAACCTGAAGAAGAACGTGGACGAGCGGCAGGCCAAACTGTCCCAGGCAAAAAGCGACTACAAGACGGCGCTGAGGAACCTGGAGATGATCTCGGATGAAATCCACGAGCGCCGCAGGAACTCCGCCATGGGCCCCCGGGGCTCCGGCGTGGGTGCAGAGGGGGACAGCGTTTCAGGGGACGACATCTCCAGCTTTAAGATGGAGTCAGACGGAATATCCAGTGAGTGCGGCGGGTTTTTCTCACTTCCCCCCCTTATTAGTCTGAGGATGACAGTAAACGCTGAAGAGTGAGTCTGCATTCTACGTCCAAAATGGAATAAAAGGCTAATTATTAAAGGTCAAACCTTCCATCTTATTGCTTTGCTGCTGGAATAACAACTGCTCACCTGCTCGCGCTAAATGTCAGGGGCTGAGTTTCATGAGCGACTATCTTATTATTTTGATCTGTTTTGTACCAAAAAAAAAAGTAGCATGACGCTTACACAGAGCCTCGGGAGGGCTGATGGTGTTTACTTCAGAATATCTGACTGAGAAATCGCAGCCAGTCTCCTTCACCTTGCTCTGACTCTCGTAAAGTTGATAAGGATGTTTATAGGAAAGCTAATGACATAATTTAGTTTAGATTTGTTAGTTGATAGAGGCTCATACGTAGAGCTTTGTTCCGAAGGAGAAAAATATTGTTCAAAAGCTTTTTTTTTCCTTCTTTTTTTTTTGCGTCAGGTTGAATCTCTGGTTGGGACAAAACAAATAAGAAAAGGCGTCTTGGTCCTTTTGCATCTTATTAGCCTGGTATAGAGAATTACCGAGATGGTATCGCCATGGTAACAGCGGGACGGTTTAGGCGACTCTGATAAGTTAAGAGGGAACGTGAGGCCGAAAATAGCCTCAGACGGTGACTGGGCGTTCACGTGTCGGCATTTCTGCGGTGAAAAGGCCTCAACCCAATGTAACGTGACAGTTTAGAGCGCTTTTGGTTTTTAACCCCGTCCCCTCAAAGCTTCCCTCGTACCTTTTTTGCCTCAGCATTAATTCTGTGGTGCCCCCCTCTCCGCAGTGGCGTCGGTGTGTTTTGACGACGAGCCGTGTGGAGGAGGCAGCCTCATGTCAGAGGAGGACTCCGAAACGCACTCGACCAGCAGCCTGGGCTCCTCCCCCAGCAGCCCTCAGGAGCTGCTGTCCTCCTGCCCCTTCGCCAGCTCCACCTCCTCCGGCGTGTCCTCCTCCGGGTCTCCGTCACCGACGCCGTCCTCCACCTCCTCCACCTCCTCTCCGGCTCTCCTGTCCAGGCCCTGCAGTCTGGACCTCCCCAGCACCGTGTCGCTGTCCGACTTCGGCCTCATCTCGCCCGTGCTGGGCCCCCGGAGCGAGTGCAGCGGGGCGTCCTCACCCGAGTGCGACCTGGAAAGAGGTGGGTGAAGATGAGAGAAAAACCCTTTAAGAAACTTACCTATGATTTCCCATGCAGTGTTTCAAATTACTGTAATACATACAAATCAACAGCAAAGAAAAGGGAAAAGGGAGCGTGTGATGGAAACAAACTCACTTCTCATATAATCTAACCACAAAGAGAAATATGTTTCCTCTGACATTTCCAGCAGATTGGGATTTTTTTTTTTTTTGTGTGTTTAAAGAGGAAAAACCACAGCAATACAGTGCAGCAACAGTGTCAAAAAATCTAAAGAAACTGAGCGACTGTGACTCAGGCCGCACAAACGATGGGCTTCTTATGAAAATAAAACCCCGTGATAGCTTTAGATGGACGTCTGTGAGCAGAACGTGCTGCGACACAGTGGAAAGCATCACCGAAGTGAGATGGATGATGCTATGGTCTATTTTGGGAAAGAGCTCGATCTCTTGCTACCTGCACGGCTGGCACCTGCTCTACTTCAGCAGAATATTAGTCAAAGTGACAACAGGACCAGTGCCTCACGTGCAGAGAAGAAGTAGGTCAGCAGTTTTGCCAGTGAAGAAATTTGGATCCTTGCCCTGTTTTGACTTCGGGTCTGTGTTGGTGCCTGAAGTTTCACAAAGAAAAAGAAAAAAATCACCCTTTCTTTAGAAAGTGATGAGAGCAACGGATACATGTACGGTAATAACAATACATGGCTCCCTTGTTGAATAAAACTAGAAAAATGGCTCTAATTTGCCTGAGTGTTGCATCACAGGCTTAAGTTTCAAACCAGGATTATTTAGATCATCTTCAAACAATCAGTTCTGTGCGTTTTAATTCCAATGTGTCCACCAGGAAAAGAATGGCTAATGCTTTCACTGATCAGTTTCTGCTTTCAGTTAAACAAACTATTTAAAATCTATTGAATAATTATGAATGATTGGAATAGGCATAATAAAGGTTTAAACAAGTGGGATTGTATTAAAAATGGAACCAGTGACAGGAGATTTTAAGATAATTGTCCTATCGTATGTAGTGTTTAAAAAGAGCTAATATTTTTCTCCATTTGTAATTGTCTCTTTCTTTACTCGCTGATTCCACTGACATTAACCCCTGGCCGGCCTTTTCTCCTCATCCAGGCGACCGCGCTGAAGGCGCAGAAGGGGATCTGGACAACGTTCCAGCTGCAAACAACAACAACACTTCCGCTTCCCTCACCAAGAGGAGCTTCAGCCTGGAGGCCCGCTTCAGCTTCCTGAACCTGCGGCGCCCCCGGGCCAACAACGCCAAAACCACAGACAGCTTTTCCCAGAAGCCGGAGCCGGGACAGACGGTGGTCCTGGTCAAAGGGGTCTGAGGAGCAAAGACACAGTCCGATAAACTGTCCGGGCTGTCCATAAGCTACCAGCCACTGGCGCACTCTGAGACTTTGAACGTCACCGTTGGTGTACACTGAGTTTCCTCTACAGACTGGCAGCAGTGGGACTCTTTCCTGTTAAAGACACTGCACCTCTGGACTGGGATGCCAGAGAAGTAGAGAGCTCCAAAACGTGTTTGGGAAAAGATGCTGAAAAGTAAAGTAGTCGTGTATATTTTTTTTGCCCTCCCCCTAAAAAGTGAGAAGCTTTTGTCACAATGCAACACACTAGCTGCCCGCGTACAACCTCTGACTCGGATCAACTTACTGTCTCTATTAGCTGATAAAACTTATTAGCCAATTTTATAGGTTATTACAGTTTAAATGGTATGTAGCATGCTATAAGCCACACAGCATAAACCTCCTGCTCTACAGCCAAACAGAGCAGGCTCTACAGTGAGGAAGAAGTCTGCTCTGTTCTCTCTCTACTCTGTATTTAATATAACAATGTCGTATTTCCGATGCTATATATGTGATGTCCGGGTTTAGGGTTAAATGTTCAAAATAAAAAAGTTAAAATAAAAAATACATTGTGACACAAACTACACATCTAGCTGCGGCTTTTCATGTCTATTTCGTTTCCTCACGGTTGGCAGTTTTTCAAGTCGGTGCTCTTCATTTACCCACCCATCAAGCACATTTAATAGATGTGAACCATAAAACGAAAATGAAATGGTAAAATGTAATCCTTCAAGACACATTTTAGTTCTTGTTCTCCAGAAGGCAGAAAAAAAGATGATTGAACTAATCTTCAAGGAATGAAACTTACACCTCATCAGCCAAGACTTGATCATTTTCTGAGGGCAAAGATATGGAAACCACCTTTAGGAGTTTCAATCAATTACCTATTGTTCACTTTGAAATTACTGTTCGTCACCCTTCTGTCAGAAATGTCTATAAGAAGCCAATAATAATGATGCACGATAATCTTTGCAGTTTATGCGTAATTTAGACTGCCTGGATATAATTTCTTTTATAGTCTCTATCAATTAATTTGCGAAAATATCGTATCTTTACCACATATTTTAGTCCTATTAAATCTTATTTAATATCTGATGGTTTATTTGTACCGCAGCATTAGTCAGCCAAGGACACCTTCTGTACCTCCACTGACAACAGCAGTACACACTCTAAGAAACGGTATTCCTTTAAATTAAAAGCCTTGTGTTTGATCATTAAAAGAGGTTATTAGGCAATCGGGTCCAAACAGTCAACTCCTGTCACAGATTTAGAAAAAAGAAAGCTGTAACTGGTTTAAATGGCTGTCACATTTTCCCTAAAACGAGAGCACCGACACAAAGGGCTGCTTGTGAAGAGGGAAATGCACCGCTGTGCTCTGAACACGGACTGAAGCTTTTAGGGTTTGCATCTATGAAGAGCGTGTGTCCAGCCTTTCCTGCGATTCCCCCCCCCCCAAAAAACGTGCAGATAGTTTTGGCTCATTAGTTTCATCTTTATTTTTGGTTCAGAGTAATGAAAAGTTGAAGTTTCTTGGCAGAGGTTTTCAAGTAGGTGCCTGTTTTCTTTGTGTCTTGCACACCTCCAACACATTCCACATTTCCAGCCAGTGATGGAACAATACTCCATTTGACTCATATTTGCTTAGAGCAACAAATTCAGCAAGCAGCACTGAATAGGACAGGAAAGAAGGGAAAAGAGGACACACGGCAGGTTATTGAACCTCTGGGGAGATTCTAACAATACTGCATCTCTACCTGTTCTGTGCTATAAAGTATTTACAAGGCCTGAGACAATGATGTTTTAATGTTACTATAGATGTTTCTTTCCCGATCAAGAATTCTACAAGCTTTTCTTTATTTAATCTATTAAAGCTACTGGTGCTATGCTGGTGATATTCATTATCAATTATATTTGAACCTTTCCCATTTTTCCCCTACAACACATGTTAAGATTGTTGAAAATCTACAGTAACATTTATTCTAAGGAAAACAAGTTTGTGAGAGTAAAAGTGCTTTAGAGACAAAACTTTAACACAACTCTACACAGGCCAGTAACAAAGATGGACTCTCAGCCACACAGGGATTGTAACAGCAGGATAATAGAGGCTGCATGTCATTATCAATCTACTGCCCCAGATTCAAACGTAAGAAATCTCAGTGTGAAGCAAGTCTGTTTTTTTTTCAGAAATGTGCTTCCACAGGAGCAGGCAGCTCCCTGTAATTCAATTAAACATTTACTGCTTCCCTGTGGCTGTTTGCGTTGACCTTTTTAGCCATTTTTCTCTAAAAGCAGTGCTGACATCAAAGGATGCAGATATCCAATTAAGATAAGGCCCACTTAAGCGATCCTGAGGGAAATTGAAGGACCCTCATCCTCATCAGTGTATGGCCTCCATCAGGTGACCAGCTGCTATTCTGCTCTACTCAAAAAGTAGCTGCTATCCTCCCATGATAGCAACAAAGCATGGAGATTTTTCTTCCTCTCTACTATTAGTTTAGGAAGCAACTCATCTGCTTCGGTTGCTGAAGTTCAACCCTTCTTGCTAGCTGGTAGCACGATGATGAGACTTTTAAGTCCATTTTCTGCGATTGACAATATTTATTTTTGTGCTTAGACTCTTTTTGTGAGTAAATTCGTTTGCTGTAAAAAGCATTCAAGTAATGACAGAAACTTCCTTTTTTGGGGGTCCAATTCCACAGAAATCCCTTTTAGTACATCTAAAAAGGGAATTCATATCAATGGACACACCAACCCAGCGATATTCAAAAGGTTTTACAAAAAACAATCCAACTAAATGTTTCACCTGAATTGGTGATTGTCTAAGCGAATTCCAGAGGAGCTCATAAACCCTCGATTGGTTTTCGTTTTGTGGAAAAAAATCTCTACCTTAAACAGCCTGCTGTCATCCTTTAGTGCCTTTAAACCTATAAAAAACATCCCTCAGAGTACAATGACTGTTAAGCTGTTTTAATGTTTCATTCCACATCCTCCCTGGTGATTGGAAGTCAATTTTCTTTTACAAAAGTGAGCCAACAAAACCGCACTGAGAGAGACCAAATGTACAAAAGTCCTAAATCGTCCAACAGAAATAAATGAAGCAGAGCTCACACAGATGCAGATGTCATTTCTTGTATTCAGATATTTGAACACATCAGTTTACTCAACGTTTAGTGCAACTCCTGCAAACATCACAGCAACATTCACACACAGGATTGTCCTGCTGGATTTTTATAATCAGTTCAAAAAAAGTTTTTAAAAAAAAACAGTTATGACAATAGAAGCATAAAAGAATAATAAATTATCATCGCATAACAGGACAAAATAAGAGATTTTCAATTAGATAGATTTCACATCATCTCTAAGTCTTTTTAAACACTAAACAGCTGTTACTGTGCAGAATTGTTCAAATTACAGATATTTTCATGTTATTTTATTGGTATTGTTTCAGTCAGTGTGACAGATAAGACAAGGTTTACCAGCTCTGGTTGGAGACCAAACCTATATTTGAAGATAACATTAGAAAATCTGCTTTAATTGGAGGACTATATGGTCAAAACGATGTTTTGCATTTTTTCCCACGTTCAGTGGGGAAAAAGAAACATTAGCAACAATGTTGTGTCGGAGTGTTCAGAAATAAGTCTTGATGTTAAACTGTGCTGCAGTTTGGGATTATGTGATTCTTCACTTTGCAGATTTTCTCAGAAACTTGATGGAATAAACCGACCGCAAATTCAATTAAACGCTTCAACATGAATATTTGTGTCTGAAAGGCATTACACAAGTGTCAGCTGCCCAGTATTTAGCTGTTAAAATAAAATCGGGGCAATTTCACTTTAACTCAATATGTTTTCTGGAGCTTTCCTTTGACCCAGAAGAACTCAGGGCGATGCAGGTGTGCCAAACGGTTGAAAGTAAAAACAGTCCAACAAAAATGTCCCAAGTTACATTACAGATCTTTGATATTTGGTGATGGTACCTCATGTATCTCATGTGCGTATGTGGGGACCATTTGGTCGGTCAAAATGTATTTGTATTGGGGGGAACAAAAATATATCTGGATTCTTAAAGTTTTTCTATTGACTTGGAAAAAATTAATCTGTCCTCACACAAGACAAAAAGCAGAATCACAGATACAGTAAAAAAAATAAAAAAAATCTAGATATAAATAGAATTTAGGCTCCCAGTGTCTTGGATAGACGTTTCTGCCTTAAAACTCCTAAAACAACAAAGCAGCAGGTTGTGAGTCCAGACCCAAACTGGCCTCACTGACACACTGACCATGTGTTCTAATTGGATTGAGAGCCATTTGATGCGTCGACTCAAAGGCCAACGTGTTTGGGACACACATGTCTCAAATGAGTGAGGCATCATCTGACTGCTTCCACGTGATGCAATAGAGCATCTCGGCTTATTTCTGCAGAGTGTGGCTAAATGTGTGTCTGCTATTAAATTTAGGGCTAATCCAAATCTTGTAAAACTAATTCACGAAGGTGCCCTGGGGGTAACGGTGGGCAACTGGAAAAGCTTTCCAGAGATCAGCTAGATAAAATACAGAACAAACATGTCAGCGACATCCTGCTGACGGCCAACGCCACCCAAACTTTCCACCCAGGGGAAAAAAATGACATCAGAGCTGCTTCACGTGCTGAATTCCCATTAATGTCAGAAATAACAAAAAGTGCAGTGAAATAACCAAATAATATACAAGTACTTTGGCAATTTGTGTAAATTTTTCCTTATAAGAGGTTGTTGGGCATTTTAACCAATACACACAGACGCACACGCACACACGCGCAGACACACGCACACACACACACGCACGCACGGGTGCAACACCAGTGAAATCGAGCTGATATTTCTCACTCGGCCTTCACATCCACAAACATCGTGAGGAGACATTGTTCAACTGTTATGCAGCGCAGCTCCTGAGAATAAAAAGCATTTGGGGTGTTGAAAGGAGTTAGGCTTCAATATAAAGCCTAACACAGGACAATATTTCATTGACTTTATTTCATTATTTTTTCCATATCCAAATGTAATTGTGTGTTCTGTCACTGGCCTGATTTTCTGCCCAAAAGAAAAGGTGTTTGTTCATCTGCAAGCTGCTGCAGTGGATAAACTGTGGGGGCGGCCATGTTGAGGTGTTAACAGAACCTGTAATGAAGAAGAAAGTGCTCTACCTGCTGCATCCAGGGTATAAACTGCAACCTAATCACCCCGTGAGGCTCGCATTTTAAGATTCGGATTCGACCGTCTTTCCAGAGGGAAGTTGTTGGTGCTTAGACAATCTTTTGGAGGAACTGTGTCTCGTCTTGATGTGGCAAAAATACTTGGTCAGTCTTCTGCTGGCAGCTTGACATTTTGGTAATAGTGTGTTTCATTCTCCTTGTTGTTAAAGGTTTTATTATTTTGACTCGTGATTATTCTTCGATATTTACCCTTTTTAGAACTGTTGCTTGGTTTCTGTCCACTCAACATCCATTTTCATGCATACGCTCTTGTCCTTTCATGTTGGCATAAATCTCTGAGAGAAAGGGGCGGAAAGTCAAGCAGCAATAACATTCTCATACTTAAAAACATTCAAATTGCAGTTTTGGAGCATCCCATGATGCCTCACTCTCACTAGGAGCTTCCTGCCAGTCCCTGAACGGTACTTTCTACATAGCTCCTTCTTCATTGGAGGTGGGAGACCTTTAGGGGTGAAGTGCTGGCAAAGTCCAAGAAGAAGGGTCCTTCCTGTTTGGGCAGGAAGGTGGTGGGGATGACGTTGTAGATGCCGGCGGGGACGTGGTCCACCTCCATGTAGCAGAATCCACATCTGTATGAGCACAGGGAGAGAAACAGAGATCCACAGATGGGTGGCAGCAGGACACTAACCCAGCCGCTAACTTTATCCTCCTAAGCTCTCCTTAATCGAAAAAGTAGCTGATGAGATCAGCTAAAACAATCCAAATGTCAAGGCGTGTGTCGAGTGAGATATGCTTGTTAGGCTTTTTGCTGATTACTTTATGTTGTAGGAACAGTTATCTTCTTGATTTGCTCACCGATGACGCATGTTTACCGCTCAATGACACACATAAAAATCAACAGAAGATAAAAGCATTTCATCAACCCTAATTTTTTTTAAAGGGGGCCTTGTAGAGAAAATTCTGCTTTTTTTCCATGAACTGATTTTCAGGTATTCAATTACAGTGTAAATCAGACATTTCTGTCCAGCATCTAATTCCAAGTGCCAGGAAAGAAAGTCAGGGATTGACGGAGGAACTTTACTGACTGTAATCGTCTCTGTGGAGTGAGCTGGACATTTAATTCTATGTTATCACTCTGAAATGGTGGAAATGATTGAGTGGTAATCAGTCTGATTTCTCGAAACTTTAGAAAGTCAGGACTGAGCCCTGTATATCCCATTCTTCCTCTGAAAGTTACTAAAAAGCCGTCTGGCTCGAAGCTGCTTGTGATTCTGTGTCTGCTAAGGGCTGATGACTGTATCTCCGCACCTGTAGTCTCCGCTGGTCTTTTTCTGGAAGGCAGCAGGGCCTGGTTCACCCACCGCCGACACGGTCACCATCTCAAATCCAACACTGTATTGCCTGTTGGAAATAGAGAAAAGCTTTAGTTAGCCCAAAAGGGAAAATATACGGCACATTGTCGGATCATTTAACATAACAGAAGGAGCCGAATGATTATCGGCTAATGCTACAGTAAAGAAGAAGTCAAAGAACTGGAATAAACTCTAGGAAGTCTTCAGTAGCATCATTCCTAGATGAATAGCATTAATTTAAAGACAGAGCCTTAGCAATATCTTTCGTCTTTGAACGTAATATTTAATAAATCAGGAGGCTTGAATTTGATCAACTAAAAATTATTCTGATCACTATCACCTTAATAAAATTCTTTAAATCAAATTAAAACATGTTTCTGCTAATCCAGTAATCATACAAGACTTGAAGTGGAGTTGTGAGTTATCAGGTTATTCCGTATAACCCTGACCTGGATCCTCGAAGTTCAATAAGCAGTGGGCCCGCCCGCTCCAGATTAATCTGATAAATGGGGTTGTGTTTGTATGAGTCCTTATAGTTTCCACAGCCCCCAGCACTGAGCCCTTTCCACTGGCCATTGATCTGAAAAGGAGCAACAAACAGATCCAATGAATACAGTAAGAAAGAAACAAAGAAAGAGAAAAAAAAGTCAACTTCAGTGAATGTTATGCCTTAAAGGCAACATGTGGCAACACAAACATTGAGTCGACAAACATGCAGAAAGTGCAGAACAAAATAGAAATATGATATAATCATATGTATTGAGTTGTAATTCACATGATGCCGATTTGTTAAAATCAATAGCTTACCCTTTTTGAGTGAGTGAAGGGATTTGGGATCTTGGAGAAGGTAAATTTGCATCCAGAGTACACCTTCGCAGAAAGAAATTACAACAGTTAACAATGTAAAGTGTTTAGTGTTTGTAGGCAAATTTATTTTCTAAAAGAGCAAAAGAAAGTCTTCATTAAATAACATTCCAATTTATCTCTCATACGCGTCATTTTTTAATAAAGCCCTTCATTTATCTATGACTATGAGCCTGAAAAATAGATTTGTCAGTCTGGTTCAGGCCAAAAAAACCCTTCAGAAAGTAAGTCACGTTTCCTGCGTTTCGCTTTGAATCCTGGCTGAAATTCTTTAAAGCCTCTACAAATGATTCTTAAGATCAAATCAGAAATGCTGATATGAGCTGAGGGGAAATGATTTTCACTGCTGACTTTTATGTGAGCGAAAGCCTGCAGTGTTTACAGCTGCACGCAAACACAAAACACAAGCATGTAAAGCAGCTTGGAGCACTCACGTGCATGGAGGGCACATATATCACAGATATATATATATATTTAATGAGCACGTCCATTATAAACAGCTCTCCAAAGACTTTATTGCGAGCAGCAAGTGAGGTCAATGAATTATAAATGACTAAAAAGAAATATATTTAGGTCACACGTGCACACTCATTCTTAAGTCTCTCATAACTAGTCTGAAGGAAATTTTCAGAGGAGTTAAAGTCGGTTTAGCATAAAAACAGAGGATAAGGTATCATTTATAAGAAGAGACGACCAATTACTGTTTCCAACCAGCTCACGGTTCATGTGTAACAATGTCAGACAAACAAATGCAAGATTCTGCTCAGTCAAGTTGGAGCAACTACCATCACTGTGGGGCTTCAGATGACCAGACCAGAGATTAGCCTGAGACTACACAGATGACCCTGTTAGCATAAGCAGAATGACGGAGGTTTTGGGAGCAGCGTGCAGACCCAGAAGTCAAGCATTAGTGCCCTGAATTTGATCCGAGCAGTCATAAATAAACCAGTTCAATGAGTTAGAGAAGCACACGGGCTCTTTTTGGCTTACTGAAACCAAACGTGACGCCTAGCTTTGAACCATCTGTATGTTTCACAGTGCAGTCTGGGAAACCTGCTGGACCAGCACCACAGTGGGTGAGGCGCGTGATAAACACGTCCTCTGCCAGGACTTGGATGGGAAACTTCGGCTTCATCTTTTCCTGAGAAACACTTGGCATTATAAAGTATATGAACATCTAAAAGATGTTATTCTGACAATATTCAAGCCTACTTGTACTGAAAAGGAACTCTTTTGTACAGCTCCGTCATGAAACTTAAAGCTAAGGGGTCTAAAGTAGTAAAAAGAAAAGAAAACTGAGATATTTGAAACCCTAAAGCTTTAACGTCTCACCCGCAGCGTGTAGTTGATGGTGTTCTGTTTCTCGTACTGGGAAACCACCAGGGTGAAAGTGTGTGTCCCAGCACTGGTCAGCCTCATCTTGGTCAGGTAATGTGGGCTGTTGATTCGAATGCCATCGATGTAAGGTGGGGGGTCCGCTTTAAGGTAGAGAAGATGAATAATACTCAGTTATCAACCTTAGAGCATTTTTCTTGGTTGAAGTGGACCTTTTTTTTTTTTTACATCTCTCACTGGAAGTCAGAAGAAATTAGCTGGTTATTGCTCTGTCACTTGTTTATTTTGCAGTGAGCCACATTGTGACTTGATGACTCAAGAAGTGAGTCAAAGAACCTGAACCTGTGCAACAGACTAGTCTTTGGCCTCATGGAGAAAAATTTGTCTGGTTTTCATCCACTTTCAAACCTCACCTGGGTAGTAAACCTTCTTGCCATCTGTCTTGTAAACCACCAGAGTTATAAACTCCCTGTTCTGTGCAAAATCATCCTGGACAAAGACACATAAAACAACAGTAAACAGATTAAAGCCAGGCATTCCACTCAAAGTTCACAACATCGTCCAAACTTCACTACCTTGTCAGTGATGTGTCTGGTGAGCAGAACCCAGACGGCAGCGCCCCCTGCTGGACACTGGACCTCCAGCCTGTACTGAGGATTATTTGCCAGACTGTAGACGTCCTTCACTGGTCCCTGCTTCCCATCCCAGCTACTGTAGAGGTCCAACCAACACAAACAGACTTAGGAAAACGTTTTGAAGAATTTGCTCGATGAAGACAATATGGGCACGTTCCCACAAAACTACTGATACAAAAGCACACCTGTGAATACAAGAGGACTCCTTAAACAGCGCAGGGCTCCAGCTCAGGTAGATGACATCATAGTACTTACAGAGATCCTCCCATGCGATCCAGAAAACTCCTGCAGAGCAGCAAAGGACAGAAACTCCTGAATACTGACAAGATGTCCTTTATAATTAAGTATGAACTGAATGACTGAATATCTTTGCACTTAATGTGAATGCAAAAGCTTTAAAAAAAAAGTTTATCTTCATGCCAGCATTTTGGGGAAAATAAATTCTTAAACTCTCAGAGTTCTTCCATTAACTCCCTGTTGGCTTAGTGATAAAACGGTCCACATTCAACAGCAAACTTGGTTGGACATTGGAGAGTACCATTATCAAACTTTTGTGCGGACTTGGGGTCGAAGTTGAGGTATTTGAGCAGCTCTGGAGTCCAGTTCTTCTCGTCCCGTTCGTTGTAGCGTCCCTTCCACCGTAGATGGCTCCACGGATTTTTGAGCTGCAGGAAACGCATTCCCTGCAAGACAAACACGCATGAAGACACAGGTTACAGAACCTCCAAAGGCTGGACATTAATTATGCATCTACAGGTCAAACAGCCTTTATGAGCTGGTTATGCATCACAACTGTGCATTCCTTTAGCTAATAACAGGATTTAGAGATTGTACCTATTCTCCAACCTAAATTTCCTGCTGATTTCTAGAAGATTTTAAACATTAATAGATCAAATTCTAGCTAAAAGGCGTGAGCAACTTGGTAGAAGCTATAAAATCATATATACAGCTGCTTATGCTACTAAACTCATCCCACTGACTTTGTAATCCCTGATGTCAAGAACAGCATAGGCGTGTGTTGGCACTAAACCCCATCGTTCTCCTTCTTCCTCTGTCATCACCCCTGTTGCCGTGGTGATTAAGACATCGCCCTTGTGAAACCTGGAAATGGAGGGTAGGTGCAAATAGAGGGAAGGTTAACAAAGAGACTAATCCAGAGGTAATTTAAAGCAAAACCTTACAGCTTTCAGTGTGAAATTGTGTGATGATCACCTCTGGAAGAGCATGCGGAAGGTGTCATCCTTACTGAATGACTGATTGTCAGAGTGCATAGCGATACGTTCAGGGATCCAGCCGGTGAGTGCGTGCAGATCGATATTCTGCAAGATGAATAGACAAAAAAAAAAAGCATAAAAATGCCATAAAACTTTCAAACTTCATATAAAATCATACTACTTATGCTTCACATCTCAAGTATCAGAAGTCGGAGCACACACCGAGTTGGAGCCGGGGAAGTCGTAGCCACCCATCACCTTCATGTAGGCCTTTTCGATCAGGGACACCCACAGCTCATTCCTGTTGCTGGAGTAAGAACACAGCAGCTCTCCATTTCGATCCACAGGCAGATAATCATCAATAATAACCTTAAAAGAGACATACAGATGGTCAAAGGGCATCACGTTGCTGAGATTGACCCTAAAATGTAAACTTTGAACGTGCTATTTTTATCAAAACAAAAACAAAAACAAAAATCAGACTTTAAATCACTCCCTACATTCCACTTTCTAAACAGTAAAACAAGCATTTACCTAACACAAACAAATACAGCTGATACGTAATATTGCTTCACCTTTCTGGGAACGCCATTGATGTGAAGTTTGACCATGTACTTCCCACAAGGGTTGTACTCTGGCAGTCCCTTTCTGTTCTGAGGGTAGATTATGCTGCAGGAGCAAAACACGCAAAAAGAGTCAGACTTTGATTTCATAAAAGCATCAGTCATGTACCAATTTCTGTTCACTTCTATTAAAAAGGTAGAAATGTGTAACTTTATTTGTACATGCTTTCCATAACTGACGTTATCTGGTCTGATTTTCAACTAAATCTGAGCTCTGATCTGAATGCAGCTTCTTCCAAAATGCACAACATTTGGAATATGGTGGGTGAGACCTGTTCGGGCATCAGCCTTTAAAAAAGGAAGACAGAAGACAGATTTGTACCTGGTGATGAGTTTTTTGTTGTAGCGTCTCTCATAAGCCGCACTGATGGCAAGTGATGCCACAAATGAACAATCAGAAACCACCGTCTAGATGACCAGAAAGGGAATTAAAACAACAAATAAAGCGTTAAAGGTTTCAGGCAGTGACAACACTTCTGGCAGCAGTCATTAAATAATAGCCATTAAATAAAGTTTTAATTTCATAAGAAAGAATGTCTTTAGTAAACGTGCACCACCTAGTGGATGAAATTATGCAGAATATTTTTTAAAAACTTCCACATGCAATGTTAAGACAATGAATTTGATGATAAATGATAGTGCTTTATTCCAAAAATGAACAGTGTAAAGTGTGTCAAAGAAGCACAACAATAAACGCGGAGTGGCAGCGCTGACCTGTTTGATGCTGAAGCTGGACACAGACATGATCATTGTGGGGTTATTGCAGATCTCGTCTGGTCGAACCCAGCGGGAGAAGATGGCCTTCTGTTTGGGTGACAATGCCAGTTTCCCCATTTTGTCCCTGCAGAAAAAAAATGGATAATAAAAATCACTGAAACAGAAAACTAAATAAATATTTTCATAAACACAAGATGTTTTTTTCAAATTTACCAAGTATCCTTTTACTAAATTTGCTACTGGATTAAAGCTTGAGATATTCAGTATTTTTAATATACACCTGATATTCAAACAAAGCCTCAGCATGAAAGTATGTGTAAGGAACCGTGAAACATTTTAGGTGGAAATTTCAAGAGTTTAAACTAGCACAAAACATCCATTACAGGTAAACTTTAATTTGCATTGTGGAGCATTTCCTCAGTACACAGTGAACTAAAGTCTCCACACGTAACTCTAAACTACACCTCTTTGATGACACACCCAGCTCCTCTATGATAAAGCAGAGAAAGACATTTTGTTCTGTGACCCTTTCAGGAAGTCTAGCTTTCAGTAATCCAACAGAGCATGCAGTGTGTTCTGTATATTTTGCATGTTCAGCACACTGACAGTCATTTTCAGTTTTTCTGCATTTAGATTCCTAATTTTAATACGTTTTTATTTCCCTTATCTAAGCTTTTTAGTGAAAGATGACACAAATAACATAAACATAGATTATTACTTTTTTTTTTTTCCTGTACCTTCGATTTACATCAATCCCTCTGCTACTATTTTCAAAACAGCTGAGAGCAGAACAAAAATCAGACTCACGAGAACGGGACCGGGAAGGCAAATCGCTCCTTTAGGTCCACGCTCATAAAGGGCACGTAGGCAATGCCATTGATTGTGGAAGTACTCCTGAAAATTGAAGACAGGTTTAGAAGAAAATCTAAAATCCTACAGAAATTTTCAACTTAAACAGTTAACTGAAAACTCCCCTGAAAAGAACTTTGAGTTTCTGTTGTGTGCATGAGTTCACATTTATGAAATTTTGTGAAACTTAATCTTTTAATTCGACTATTCTTTTATATGTACACCAAAATGACTAGAAATTGATAATCAACAAAAGGTAAAGAAGCTTTAAGTGGCATCACTGAGTAAAGATAACACCAGCTCACCTGAGCACCTCGATTTCCTCGGATGTGTAGCGCTGGCCCTGGGGCTCGCTGGACTGGACGGCCCGGACAGGCTGTGGCTGAGGGCGGTCATGGATGCTAAAGTCTGGCCCGAGAGGAAAAAACTGGCGGACTGGTCCCCCAGAATTAGCACCACAGCTGGGTTTGGTCGTTGAAGGCCCTGTTCTATCCTGAGTATGGGCTGGAGTTGATCTGGACTGGGATTCTTTAAGACCTTCAGCCCTAAAGACAAAGAGGAGTCGAACATTTTATTGCCTTTTTAATAGCTTTTTCTATTTTAAGCAAATATGGCAACCAAAGACAGTTTAAAAAAATCATTACATAAATATTGAGGCAAATCGGTATTTCATTTGATCTATTTTTTGTTTATAACCAACAAATGTATACAAAGACTTGCATACAACTGAATTTCATTACTACATTGTTTGTCTAACAAAAAACCAACAACAAAGTATTAAATCCAAAAGTTAAAAGATAAAGTATAGTTGATTGTTTCAAATAGAAGTTTTAAAAAAAGACAGCCATAACACAGCTTATGGTCAACTTTGTGTTCATTTATTGAAGCTGAAACATCATTTCATATCTACCTGTCCAAAGCTTGGCGCGCCAGCTGCTTCAGCTTGGTCTGAAGCGTCGGGTCTGAGGTCTCGTTTGACTGTTGGCCAAGCAAAAGGAAACACACTTGTTAGGGTGAGACGATGCGAGCCACGGTAAACAGAGAGAAGCTGGGAGACATACCGTCTTGATGCACAGCTCCACGGCCTGCGTGTACAATTCAATGGCTTCATCGTCATTCCCCTTCTCATCTTCCTCAAAAGCCTGTGTCACCAGGAAGTGAGCGCGCTCAAGGTCCATCTGCTGCCATGACTTCAGCGGGTCACTTTTCTGTGCCTGGACTGGGGTCAGACATCATAGGAAACATGTAAGAAATATTATTTTGTTCACTGTATTATTTATTCTAAAAACCAATCCAAATAAACCTTTCTCATGAGAAAACTTTTCAACATAGTTTCTATCAAGTTTTTTAATATCCACAAACTTGACTGGAATGAAGTAGATTTTAGGAACGAATAGACTGCTTATTTATTCATTAAGTTAATGTTTGTTTTGGTTGGCCAAAAGGATCAGATTTTTAGTTTAAAAATGAACTAAACTCTTTATAAATGATAAAATAAGGCTATTTGAGGATGGCATCTGTACTTGATCAACAAAAGAAAAATTTACCAAAAACTGCAACAAATTTTCAGCTAATTTAATTTACATTATTTAGAAGGAGGTGGAAATATGTCATAGTTCACTGTGGAACATCATTCTACAGCAGGTAAGTCAAAGTAAACCCATGCTACCCATATTGTAAAAGCATGGAAATCATCACTCGCTGAATAAATAAATACATTAGCTACAGGAAATACCTAATTCAAGAAATGAAACATATGACACATCCTTTTGATTAAGTGAAAACTTTTAATTGAATAGGGTTGTCCTCTATGTGGCAAACCTACCTGCATTGTGGAGAGCTTGAACTCGATCCAAATACTCGTTTACTTTGTCCTGAATTCCTTCAAGTTTGGACCCTGCCATGCCAGCATAAATCAGAGCCTGGGCTGCCTCCTGGGTCATACAGATCATAGAACATCCACAGGTAAATCATGACAGTGCAAAATAATGCTGATTTTAGCTGAATTGTACTGTAATATGATAAACGGTCAATTCAGATATTTCTAGACAAGTCTCTCTGGTTTAATCACCCACCACAGACACCAGAGTGGACACCAAGTTTAGTGTACTGGAAGCTAAATGCTAACTTTGGCAGGAAGATGCGGTTTGTCAAACTAGAATGGATAGAAACCAACCTTATAATAAAACACCGCCTCGTTATATTTGGCATTCTGGTCGTAGGTTACAGCTGTTTTGGCAAATTTGACAGCATCGAGTTCCAGCGCCGCGCAGTCCATGCTAAACCAAACTTGTTGACAAGTGACAAGCTCAATGCAGCAAACGAGCTAGCTGACAGCTAGCTGTCGTAATTCACCAAATTAACCAAATGTCTGTCTTTTACCCGCCACATAGAACAATTATCATCTCCGATAAAACATGGTAAGGATCATTTTGAGGAGAGTCCTCAATTCCGCAGCCAGAACTTGTAGATTTGAAGTTTTGTTCAACCTTTTGACAAATGACTACACTAGTCGCCACCAAAACACCCAAATCATTTCCGGGAAACAAAAATCCGCGCAAGCGCATTAGATTACCTGGGCGATTACATGTTGTATTGCCTTCGTAACATTCAGTAATATCAATATTTTTATAATCATGATCATAAGTTCGATGTGTAATGTCAAACCCACATTTAGAATATATATATTTTCATATTTTAAACTGGCGGGTTGTCAAAAAAAAAGTTATGTCAACACAGTTTAATACATACTAGATCGATTCAGTTTTATTTATTATAAAGCATCTTACCTTCAGGTGAAGATAAACCTGGATTTGAAAAAGGTTATAACTGTCCATCAATGGTGATTAAAGTTGATGGTATCTTTGATATCGATTGTCCATAGTGCTGACCCCTCGGGTCACAGGCAGCTGGAGCCCATCCTAAACCTCACCTACTGAGGGTTGGATGGATCTCGCTGTGAGGAAATGCTTTCATTAGTATTTGTTTTTATTGGAATGTAGATTGTCTCATTTGGGTTAAATAGGCTAAAAAAGATTATTTAGTTCCTTTTTATCCTGGACAGATCACCAGTCAATCAGAGGACAACACAGAGCCAGGATAGCATGCTAACTTAGACTCACCCCAAAGGAGACCATTTAGAATCACCAACTAACCAAACATGCATGTGTTTTGATGGTGAGAAGAAGCCAGAGCAACTGGACAGAACCCATGGTGCTAACACAGAGTCCATCTGCTTCCAAATAATCACCACCTCCTCACTCTCATTCACTTTAACAGTGTATTTAATAATATATACACATAGACATTTACATGTATCATGTATGACAAGCTGTTTTTTCATCTTTTATTTTTGAAACTTAGACATTTTAAAATATCCTCTTGAGTTGCTGTTTTATTGAAGCACATTTCAGAAATCTTTTGCAAAGTGTCATTGCTTCTTTAAGCTGATTATATTTTCCAAATGAATTTCTCAGATCATTTTTCTGACATAATGTATCAAATAAACAACCATAAGCTGATTAAGTTAAACTAATCATTTGAAAAGAGAACATATTTGTATCTGATTCCCAACAGCAGCCAAAAGAAAAATCTTACCACTGTTTTTTAAGCAAAAAAGAAATATCCCAAACAATTTCACTAATTACAATTAACTTAAACAAATATTTTATACAGGGTAGATATTCAATAGTTCAGCATAGCAAGAAAATACCTTTTTACATCAGAACTTTAAATCCATCTTTAGAAAGGGTTTACAGCGCCCTCTGCTGGTGATAACTGATATTAAATGAAAAAACTCTGAGTTCAGTTGATGCGTACAAACACGTTTTTAAATCTACATTAACAATGACTTTTAATTTCAGGATTTAAACAGATAAAGCTGCCTTTTCACAGATCCATTGTTGATTTTCATTACAGCTCACTGACTTCCATCCTTGACTTTGGACAGATATCACACATTGACCATCCTGAAGTTGTTCTGTCATCCAGGAGCTGAAAAGGAATTTAATAATAAATATGATATTTTGAAAATTTCAGCAAGATGGAAACTTTTGTGTTTCTTACTTGTTAGCTAAATAACTTCCATCGATCCACTTCCATGTCCCATTTTCTGCTTTCAGGCCGATCCAGAAGCCAGTTGTCCCAGAACTGCCCCAACTTTTATCATTGACAAATGTCTGAGGAATCAGAGAGGAAGTTATTATAGAAATTTAGATTTCCCTCACATCTACGCCCTGACCAAAGTGAGTCAGTGTGTGTTCAGATATAAGAAGTTATGTATTTTTATGTAATATTGCCAGTCAGTTCATAGTTGTGTCATCACCTTTTCTTTTTCATCATCAACAACAACCAGATCTGAACCCTTTCCTCTGCAGATTTTTCGAGCTTCTTCCCAGCTTCTTCTTTTATCAGGTGCAGCATTATTTACAGCGTAGCAGCTGTCCTGATTATTCAACCAGTCTTTTTCACATTGCTGACATGTTCTAACTGAAACAACAAGGATCAACAAATAAATATTGATTTCATAACACTAACATTTTGTACATGTGTTCATAAATCTTTCTGGATCTACACCTACAGTTATTTGTCTTTGGACAGTAGGCATCAATGCTCCACTGAGCTCGACTGGCGTTGAACTTAATCTGTGCATCCTCCTTGTTCTTTAGTTCTTCTGTCAGGTTTTTCTTCTCGGCCTCCAGCTGCTTGTTTTCTGTGTTCAGCTTCTGGTTCTCTGCATTCAGGCTTGTGATCTTGTTTTCTAAGACATTTGAGCTCATGTCAGGTTGATTGACTCCACTCTCGGATTAGTTAGCTCTGATTTTACTTCGGTGTTGATTTTGGGGTGGTTGGATTTTTCAAACAGCAGAGCCATTTGAGTGGATTTAAAGTGGCGTTCATCATTATGAATTTTTGTAACTAAAGAAGGAATTTAGTTTCAACATAAGGTGTAAATATAACCTGAGTTTTGTACATTCACCCCCAGAATGATTGACTTATTTTTTTCTAACTTCCAATATCACTGGATGGTCACCAGGACTGAAGTTTTTCCGATGAGAAATTTGAAAATTTATTTGAAATAAAGGCTTTAAACTGTACAATTACATGCAAATCATTTTAAAAAGAAATTGACAAGATGACTGTTGAGGATTCTTTGTCCAAACAAAAATATATGTACTCTTTTGTTCAATATGAACTTCTACATTGTGCATTACATTTGATTTTGTCAATGCAAATTATACTGTGGAATTGCTGACTTGACTGAAAATGTAAAAATGGTTGAGTTATCTGCATATTCTTCATTATTTATTGAGGCTGAGTTTAACTAAACAATTACTTTCATTATACTGTATAGACATAAAAAACATATTTCAACAAAGAAATTAATACAGATCTATTTCATTTGGTTTGAGTTAGAATTGATTCCTGTTTTTCATACTCACGGTAAATACAGACACCTATGATGCCTAACAGCAAAATGAGAAAAATCGTTCCAAAGGAACAGGCCAGCTGCTGGCAACGACGGCTCCTGTCTTCATCTGGTTTGGCTCCCAAAAGTTCGGCTGAGGCTAAAAACAAAGACTTGGGACTTTAGCAGTCTGAACTTCACATACTCAGTAAAGACCCACATTTACCATTTCCCACCAATATTTAGCATTCCATCCCATCCAATTTAATTCAATTAAATTTAGTTAGATTCCTCTATATTCATCTCAACTCCCTGCAATTCAGTTCAGCTAAATTAATTTAACCATCCATATTTCACATTAATTTATCACAAATAATCTGTTCTGGCGATCCAATGAGAGCGCTTCAAGCTGAACATGTCCTCTTCATTTGGCTTTCAAAAAGTAAGAAAAAAAGTATCTACTTGTAATGTACAAAAGATCAAAAGGAGTCAACAGAGTGATTTGTAAAGATATTAAAAAGGAGCAATGAGAAGCCTTGGGACATTATTTGGTCCAGAATGGAGAGGCCTGTC